TCCACTGGCAACCGAACTTTGCCAATTCCTGTCCCAATGTCCAGTTGTACTTTTCTACCATCCCATCAGACTGTGAGTGAAGTGGCGTTGTCCTGGTTTTTCGGATGCCAAACAGCTTGCAGCATTCTTGGAACACAGCTGATTCGAAGTTACGGCCTTGATCTGAATGCAGTTCATATGGCATAGCAAACCTGAAGAAGAAATCGCTAATAGCCGAAGCTACAGTTGTAGCTTCCTGATTTGGTATTGCATATGCCTCAGGCCACTTGGTGAAATAATCCGTTACCACACAAATGTACTTGTTTCCAGCACGAGTTTGGGGCAGAGGACAAGCAATGTCAACGGCTACTCTTTCCATTGGTGCACCAACTTGATATAACTTCATTGGAGCACGTCCCTGTATGTTTGGGTCCCCTTTTAGCACAACATTTACTGCATGTCCTGCACCATTCTTCCACATCTTGCCTCATACCTATACAGTAAAACCTTTGTCGTAGGTGATTCAATGACTTCTTTACTCTGAGATGTCCTCCTGTTAAACTATCAAGGGATTGACATAGCACAACTTCCCGTAATTTTCTCGGTATAAACGTTTGCCAGGTCGTCTCATCTGCAGTTTCCCATCTCCAAAGAAGAATACCATCTTCAAGCTTCAACTGGTCCCATTGTGCCCAATAGTTCTTTGTCACAGGGCTTAGACTAGACACCTGCTGTCAAACATGGCGCAAAACACTTGCTTTTAGAAAATCAATTATTGGCTTCAAATCTTTGTCTTTCTCCTGTTCTGCTTTAATATCTATATTTGGTTCCACTTCATCATCATCAGCTCTTTCAGTCGGCTTGACTTCAGCTTGATGGCACCTGGTTAGTTCAACCTCTCTTTTCAAGCAATGTCTGCAGTCATTTTTGCAGGGTCTTCGACTCCATCGGCATTACCATGAGATTTTCCCTCTCTGTATTCAGCATCATAATTATACTGGTCTATCTTTCCATTCCAACGTGCCAGTTGTCCCACTGGGTTCTTTAATGATCTTAACCAGCGTAATGCAGCATGGTCTGTCCTGATGGTAAATCTTGCACCATAGAGGTAAGGATGGAAATATGTCAGACTCCTTACTATAGCAAGGAGTTCCCTCCGTGTTACACAGTAGTTCCTCTCTGGTCTACTTAAAACGCTACTGAAGTAGGCCACAGCATGTTGGTTGTCGCCCACTTTCTGAGACAACACTCCTCCCATTCCTACATTACTAGCATCACAATCCAGTATGTACGGCAGTGAGGGACCTGGAAGCTTTAAAAGTGGAGTGGAGGCCAATTTTTCCTTCAACATCTTGAAAGAATGCTGGCAAGAAACTGTCCATTCAAACTTCTGGCCTTTTTTAGTCAAATCATGTAGTGGAGCAGCTATAGTTGCAAAGTCCTTCAAAAACTTTCGGTAATAGGTACAGAGTCCCAAGAAACTTCTTAGCTCTCCCACATTGTCTGGTGTTGGCCAGTCACACACTGCTTTCACCTTGTCAGGATCAGTTTGCATACCACGCTCACTTACAATGTGTCCTAAGTAAAGCACCTTTTTCTGGAACAAATAGCATTTTTTGGGATGAAGTATGAGGTTTGCTGCTTTCAAACGCTTCAATACTTCCTCTAGTCGGGACATTTCCTCATCAAAAGTTGTTGCAAATACAATGACATCGTCCAGGTATACGAGAGCTATCCTCCATTTTAGGCCTTCCAATAGTCTTTCCATCAGCCTCTCAAATGTTGCTGGAGCATTA